CTATAATTTACGAATTGTCGCCTACTTTTGTCTGTGGAACCTGGTAAAGATTATTTAGGAGTTAGTAAGAGTTAGATGTTGAATTCTGATATATACGGCTATATAATTATTTTGCGTATTAACTTATTACTTTACTTAACTTTAATAATATAAAAATTCTATAATATAAATAGTATATACTGGCTAGTCATAATTTTATTTCAACTTTTGTTTATAAAAGGTATTTGTTGATGGTTTTGGCGACCTTTCCATATTTAAAATATTTGTTGCCTGGTTCGAGGTGTGGGCTTGTAAAAACAAACATTAATACAATTTCATTTAACTTTTGCTTCTAATATATTTCGGTTGTACATCAACTAACCGTTTTCAGGGCACCATTATTTAAAGGTCTGTAAATGTTAAAGAGATATCTGTATAAGTGAGCGCAATTTTCTGTGTCTGTCTTGTAGTTTAGTCGTTGGTTGATGGGTGTGTTAATAATGTTTAGAATTTCCAATGTGTGCAGTTTGTTGTAGTTTGGTTCTTGTTGTAAGATTGTTGTTTCATCAAAATGTGGTGTGTGATTGCTTCTCATACAGTGGGATATTAGTGCTGTTTTTTGTATATTGTTTTGATGTCTAAATTTGAAATCTGATTTATGTTAACTGATCCTTGTTTTCAGCTTCGATTTGGTTGTACCCATGTAAACACTATTGCATTTGTTGTTGTTTTCCCCACCACATGGTATTTGGTATATGACGTTGCTTTAGTCAATCATAGGGATATTTGATAATATCCTATTGAAGAACTTCTGCAATGAATTCGTCCACATCCATTGCTACGGTTTCGTTACCCTTATCTGACGATAGAATTTTAATATTATTATTTTCCTTCAATAATTTTCGCCGAAGTTCGCTCTCACAATCAGCAAAAGAGACTTTCCATAACCATAACAGATAAAGAAACACAACAGTCAGCGCGCACAAAATTCTCTTTATTAGTAAAAGAGCATACAACCAAGAACAACCAGAACACTAGGCATCGAGCAATACTGGACACAGTGGAAAAGACACGAATATTATTGAAGGAAAATAAAGATATTAAAATTCTATCGTCTGATAAGAGTAACGAAACCGTAGCAAAGGATGAGGACGATTTTAAAAGTAAAATAAAAACATGAAATTAAAAAGCTTTTGACGAAAAATGATTTCCCACAAAACATAATTAAATCTTTATTGAAAAGACGACAAATTGAAAGGAAAAAGGTCACAAAATCTGACAAAATATTAAAATTCCAAATATATGTGCCGCGACTATCAGAACGCCTCACGAACTCAGAATGTTACAACATAAAAGAAAAGAAAATAATAAAATACTAGACTATCGAATACATTGCAGAAGTTCTTCAATGGGATTTAATCGAAAATCCCTATGACAGACAAAAGCAGTCATTTACCAATTTAGGTTATCAGTATATATGGAATATTATTCCAAAATTGGCTTGTCAGTATTTTCGAAATAAACATCAGAGAGTCATTCATTGGTGAAACCTCAAACATTTTTTATTCTTTGGCAAAAAATTAATTTTATGTCAAAATGAAATTCCTTTGTTGAGGGTATCAAACTTTTATCACAAAAATGTAACGTATAGAATGAGACTTCTCCGACGTCATAAAGTATATATATTATAGAAGAGTATAAACTGCCGCCTTGATATAGCAATGGACGTCTGCCGTAATTAATTTATTATTTTTATAATATCACCGTTCTTTTGCAGTAGTACATATTTATGTCGACAATCTTTTACTTCTTGGAACGAAAAAAATAATGAATTAAAAGAGCAGAACATACAGACAGCACTGAAAACAACAATACAATACAATACAACGCAGATTTTAGAATTCAATAAAGACGCGCATTAATGTATGTGTGTACCTACAGCTGTGAAAAAAATAATAGCACCACTACAACACATTTTGTTCTTGATAAAAAAAAAATGCGATTACTGTTCCGATTTTTGTGAAAGTAGATTTTCTTTATATTGTTCTTCAAATTTCTGTCTATATCTTTTTTTGGGAGATTTTAAGAAAAAACCCCCAAAAATGCAGAAAAAAAAAATAGCACCATTAGCCCTTTTCTTAGCGAATCCTCGTTATATCGCGGAATTGCCTTTGCAGAATGAACGTGCGTATTAGTTTTGACTAAGATATCATTTTTTCTATCATAAAAGTTAATAATAATCATTACGATGGAACGTGGAATGCACTGCACTGCAGAGAAGCGCGATCTTATTAAAAAATTGATATTGGACGGAAAAACTTACAGGGATGTTGGTCAATTTGTAGGATCCTCCAATAAAATAATTAAAAAGATCTTAAACTATCAAAAAAATATTGAAACACGCGGACGATAACAATCTATGACCCCTCTTCATGTCAAAAGACTGATTCGTCAGAACACGAAGGATCCATTCAAGCCTGCTACCGAGCTTAAAAAAGAGCTTAACATAAAAGTGACGGAACAAACAGTTCGCTAATATCTTGGGCAACATAACCTAAAAGACTGTAAACCAAGAAAAGTACCACTTTTAAACGCAATACCTATTACTAAGTGCATGAAGACTGCCAGGGATCATGCAAATTGGACATCTCAACAATGGAGTACACCACTAAACCCATTAAGCATGGAGGGTTTATTGTAATGGTATGGGCCTGCTTTTCCTACAATGGAGTAGGTCCAATACATTGGAGAAAACCATCATGGATCAGCACGTGTATGTGAATATCATGGAGACAGTTATGCTACCCTTTGTAGAATACGAAATGCCCCACGTACGGGTCTTTCAACAGGACAATGACCCCAAACACACCAGCAAGAAAGCAAAGCAGTGGTTCAGGGCAAACTCTGGCAACGTTTTGGAGTGGCCTACTGAGTCGCCTGACCTGAATTCCATCGAAAATCTGTGGTCCGACGTCAAGAAGGCAGTTGCTGCTTCCAAACCAACCACTATCGGATCACTTTGGGAAGAAATTAAAGAGTCCTGGTTCAAAATTCCCCTAAAACGATGCCAGGACTCAGCTGATTCCATGCAAAGACGCTGTGCAGCTATTATTGCTAATAAAAGACACTGTACTAAATATTAAATGATGAATATAGATTAAGTATTAATAGTTCAAAATGAATTCCTCACTTATTCGCCATTTTTTATATTTTAAGTCGATTTTTGAAAACTGGTGCTATTATTTTTTTCGGCTAATTTTATCAATTTCAGCACATTTTCTTAAATAACTTAAGAACGTTAATCAATAGGATGATTTTCTTTTTATTTCCATGTTTGTAAGAGTCTTCCCTTTCTAAAAATGTGCTTCAAGTTTCCTTACTGTTAAAAATGTGGCTGTGGCAACTATTCAAAACTTGCTTGTGGTAGTGGTGCTATTTTTTTTTTCTCAAATGTATATACATAAATTCTTCCAATTTGCGCTTGCTGCCGCAAACAGAACTCTTATGTTTCCTTACCGATCTTAATTAAATTTTTGGCATTAGTGCATTTGTGCTATAGATTATTCGTATATTCTCAAAAAGCCAGTTTTATTATAGCCCGTGGCACGTATAAAATAAATGTTCTCGAAATGATTTGAATTGATTTTGAAACAAACGTTTTTCTCCAATTTACCACTGCTGCGGGTGGAGTTTCCAATGTAAGTTTGAAGTAAATCGGACACAACTTAAAACTACTCTCAACAATTCTTTGAATCGTTGTTGTACCAAAAAAGTTTGGATTCTGCGAAAAGTGGGATTCACATCTTAAAAGATTTTTCATATAGATTCCTGGATTTGAGCTCGAAACGTCACCTACCACATTCTTGACCCTCATTTTCATCAAGGAGGGATGCATTTTTTTTTTTGCGTTGATCACCAATCACTTATATATGTTATTATACCCTAAACCCATTAAAAATGGGTATAAGGGTATATTGTATTTGTGCAAAATCCAAATGTATGTAACAGGAAGAAGGAAGCATCTCCGACCCCATAAAGTATATATATTCTTGATCAGCATCAATAGCCGAGTCGATCTAGCAATGTCCGTCTGTCTGTCCGTCCGTCCGTATGTATGAGCTCAAGGATTTCAGAACCTATAAGAGCTAGAGACTTGAAATTTTAGATGTAGATGCTCCTAGTTCCCGCGAAGATTGAGTTTTCTGATAATCGATAACTTACTCCGTTTCCAAGCAATCGATGAAAATCGATATCGACATCCTGTTTTTTTTAGAAAATTGGGTAAATAATAAGATAGAGCCACCAAACATGATATGTTGCTTCTAGAATATTATAGATATTTCAATATCTTTCATTTCATACCTATCGCCACCTCCCCGCTACCACCCCAGAGCTATAAATCAAGTTAATAACGCAACTTTTATTGCCAACAAATTTAAACCACAATTAAAATGCAATTGATTTTTTCAAAATACACAAACATTCTATGGTACAATAAGATATACTGTAGAAAATATTATAAAGATCGGTTAAGAAAAACCATAGTTATATGCAACTGCGCAATTGAATGGGGCAGCAGCTTTAAGAATTTCTGTATACATGTACACACACACATTCATGCGCGTCTGCTTCGCATTCTAATAGGATGGTAATTGCATATTTTTTTGTAATGTTATTTTAGTTCCTTTTTTTATCATAAGTACTTAATCGTTGGTGTGTCTGCTGAGTAGAGGCATAGCAAATGGTGCGGTCTGTCGCGAGTTCGAGCCCTACCGGGGAAAGTATTATTATTATTTTTTTTTGATGGTGTGGCTGTTAAGTAGAGTCGACAGTAAGACATGCGGTCAGTTGCATTCGCGCCCTGACAAGGGAACTTTTTTTTATTAATTTATTTGGTGTTGGAATAAGAGGGTTCAGGGTATCCCCTAGTCGGGAGCTCCCGACTAGAACCTCTTACTTGTTATATGTTGATTACATTTAAATGGCAAAAATTATATGAGCGCTTTTGTTTTTTCTTACAGTTACTGGTGAAACTTATTAGAAAAATGAATTTTGATTCCATCAACGAACGTAGGAAAATGTTGGCCACGTAAGTTAAGAAATAATTTAACGATAGCTTGGTCTGTAAGTTTTATAACTCTTATGCGAACTAATTTAAATGATCGCCGAAAATGGATTGTTGTTGAATGTTGCCTTGATACTCCAGTTTGTTTTTATCATAGCTAGTTTGATGCACTTGTCAATCTTTTGTAAATGGATATATTGATATCAACAAAATTTGAATTTATTCTATAAAAAACTTTGGTTAAAATATTTTCGTACTTTGTACCCAATTTCAATGTGTAATTAAAATGTAAAAATGTGTGCAACATGGATGTCCAACCTCAAGAGGTATAATCTTGGTCAGCATTAACAGCCAAGTCCATCTTGCCATCTTCTGTGTAGCATGTGAATACAGACAGATGGACATGACTAGATCGACCAGCTATTAATGTTCAACTACATAATAAGCTATAAGTTTTAAGGAACAAGAACAAAAACAAAAACAAAAACAATCTCCAAAGCCTAAAAAGCCTATTCATCGTGACATTCTGTTCAGCCTTCGACTGCAGCTTACAACTTTCTTCACACAGCAGGTCTTCTCTTTTTCTCTTTTGCTTTTCCGGTAGCTGTGGACACAAGCCGATGGGTGACATTTGTACGAAAAACACCATACATGTGTTTCGAGCCATCAGCTATCGGATGAGATGCTGCGTTAAAAACTAATTTTCTGAAAGATAATTTTTGGGTTCTCTAATTTGGGTAATCTGAAATGAATTAAAGAAGATTGATTGGGAACCGAAAAAATATAGTGTGTAATGTAGCAAGAAGTTTTTAATTAAAGCGAAAACACTCAGTATAGATGACGTCAGTCTGTGTTCTTGTCTTAATACCATCAATTAATAGAGAAGGAATTTCAAGTTAATTCTGACAGATTTACGCATCACTCTCCTTTTTTCCTTTTACTCCTTTTTTATGGAGAGGAATGATGATATCTTTCCATTTGGCCGGAACAGATAGAAGTAAAATAATAAAGGTTTGCGTTTACGGATCTACGCTGCTGGGTTGGTGTAATAATGAAGCTGTGTAAATGATTTAGCCTATATATAATAATTCTCTCAAATTCTCTAAATTTTGTAATCGCTTGATTGTGTTAAGGTCCCTGAGTAGGGATAATGCTATTGATGGGAATTTTCAAATGCACTGATGTGAATATAGATGATTTTTTTGTAAACATAGAGCTACTCCTCTATGTTTGGAAAATAGATTGGCCTTGCTCAGATCAGAATTCGCGCTTTCCCCTGCAAAATGGACATCTTACGTATCGACTTAAAAATTTCAATAACAAACGTTCGTTAGGAAAACAATGAAGCAACTTGCAATTCCCTTGAAACCTGCGCTGCTTAAAACACCTCAATTATTATTATTTTTTTAATTTTCGTGCCTGGAACTTGGCTCTTTTTTGGCGCCACCAAACCACCATCGTACTTGGCGTAGTTGGCGCTGCAACTGGAAGGTCTTCCACCTTGCTAAACGCAGACTACGACTACGAAAAACGACACCATAAGTATAAGCATTCCATTATTTGAATCATAAATTGGTTTTATATTTTTAGGAGCGAAAGTTACAGAAACCGACTAAATAGTGGTCTGGACAAGATTGATACAGCTTATTCATATAATGAACCCCACACAATCATTAGCTAACTTAGCCATTTACGAAAAATAATAATCGCGAAGGATTTGTTGAATTGAATGCTAAAACACTTAATAGAATACACGATTTTCAATATCATCACCCATCAATGGAGCTGTTTTATTGGCCCATACTGCCAGCTGAGCTCCCTTTCACACCTAATTTTGTGAGTGTCGTTATCAGAGCCTACAGCTAAGAAGTAGAAGAACTTAATGTTCTTTAGTAGAAATTAAAAATAACCGTTATTTACTAAAATATTAAAGAAAATGGAATAAGTAGAAAAGAAAAAAAGAAGGGATTGATAATGTTAGCAAATTTATATTATATAGAGTGTTAAGTATATAGGATAAATAGATAGTGATGGGATATAACCGACCCGCCAGGGGAAATTTATACCCTGTCCCCGCCCCTACTCATAATTGGAAATGGTAAATGAGTTCCCGAAAGTATCCTGAAGGCAACGTTTTTCTTAAAGGGGAGAGAAAGTTCGGTGGAGAAAACAACACCAAACTATTGTAATTTTTACAAACTACACGAAAAGAATTGTGCATTGCGTAATCTGTTGTACACGTAGGTAAAAATAAGAGGCGGTAATTCTTGGTAAGTCTAGACGGAACAGAGTATTGAAGACGAACAGAAAAGAAGAATCTTTGTCGGCCACAAAAAACTTATATAGGAAGACAACACCGTGGATCGTCCCATGGTTGGTTAAGGACGGATCAATAAGAAGAAGTCTGTTGGAGTACTGTGGCAACCGCACTTATCTGAACTTATTCAATACGATCCTGGCTATTATACTGCGGAGACCAGATGCAAGATCACTATTCAAGGATAGGGCGAACAAGAGACTTGTAATTAATCGAAGTACACCTTTGGTCTCATTAACGATGATACCTATATAAAGATAGATGATAGGTGATTTGCAATGGAGTATTGTCGATTGTATATTTGACAAGATAAGTTTCAGCACGATGAAAGGTCATAAACATATACTTTGAACAATAAAGATGCAATTGATTGGCCGTGCACTTAGGTTGCATAGCGTTCAACTTATGATATAGGGGATTAGTGTATGAAAGAATAAATTTCGCATCGTTCGCATACATAAGTACACGGGCATGCGATATAATTTAGGGAAGATCAGTTATGAAAAGAGTAAATTTGACTCATTCTTAACAAATCCACGTTGAACTGGGGAGATAACTGATTTTTCCAAATAATTTAAGAGAAGAAGAGACAGACGATTCAAGAGATAAGTAGTTTAAAACGCTTTGGTAATAGACGAAGAAAGGAAGAACTACACTCTTTGAGTAAGAGTAAGAAGATTTTAAAGAATTTATAGTAGAAAGAAAAGGTAAGAAAGGTAAAAATTATTATTAGGACAGGCAGGGGAGAAAGTTGATTGACAAAAATGTATAAAACTTTTCCAGATTCTGGACAATTTGCGTTTTGCAACGAGTAAGACAATCTCGAACTAGACTTATTAAACTTTTTAATAAACTTAATATTTTCTTGATTTGATTGTCTGAAAGTAAACCAAGGCGGCTTTAAAAAAGCAGTTTTGAATGGGCAATACAAGCACCTAAGAGGGAGTTCACGGTGTTATAAAAAAACATGAATATCATATTAACCGAGTCCTATAAATGACGAATGAGAAATAAGAGGTTTGCAATTAAACATTGCAACCTCTAAAGAAGGTTGACATACATCCTCTGAAATCGCTAATTGATAGGACCTAGACACATTAGCAGTAAGATAATTGTTAACACATAGAAATTGAATTGATTTAAAATAACGAAAGGTCTAGCATGCAATCTACAAAGTGATGCTGAAGGGAGAGTAATAATGACGAAGAAATGTTAGGTATATTAAAATCACCCACACCATTTTATTGTTTTGGGATTTAAAATTCTTTTATATACCACTGATATGCTGTTACTGTAGTTAAGCAACTTTTATTCGCATGAGGATCAGGGTTTCATATTAACAGTAGCCTTGGTTTTATGTACATGTTTATTTTGTTAGGTCTAGATTATTTTGTTGAGGGTCTGCATGCTTCACTAAAGGCGTCGGTTGGCCAGGTCTATAAGATAGGTATTTTTAAGCCTCCTTCTTCGCCTCAGTAGGATTCTGAGGACATAAACAGATATGTCTCATGTGTGAATGTACCATTCCGCTGAATGAAACCGCCACGCTGCACCACTTTGAATGTCCTCTCAGTCAGGAAGCTATTTCATTTAAAGCTATTTAAATTTGTGTATCATATGTGCATTCTTCCAGCCCACTGGAAAGTGACCTAGCCGAAAAGCTGCATTAAAAATGGTGACGAGAGAAAGCACCGCCTTCTATATCAGCAGCTTGATTGTCTGGTTATCCAACCGATCGTCCCCAGCGAGTTTGTTGTTTTTTATGCTCTCTTCATCTCCTGCTTCACTTCTGGGAAGGTGATTTGCGAGGCCCGCTGTATCCTGCCATGCGATGCCGTCTCAGACGGCATGAAACGCTCCTCTAGGTTGCTCGCGAAGGTTTTGGCGCGGCTTGCCGTTTGTATCCGCTGGTAAGTTTCCACAAGGTGAATTTTGAGCTCTTACTGCCGTTGCTTCCTTCAGCATGGTGTCTGTGGCTTTTCTTCTCGGAATAGTCAACTCCTTCCTGACCTTGTTAGCGCTACGATAGATCCTGTCGATCCTGTGGTCGTGTGGACGGATGGTACCCCCTTAGTCGCTTGTTGGTGGATGGTGGGAAGCGCCTTGAAAGTTGCCTTGTAAGCTCAAAGTACATATGTCCCGGCGCAGTGTTAGCAGCCGCGGCATGTACTTGATGCAATAGGGTTTAAACTGCAGCCTCGGCACCCTCGGCTGTCAAGATCGACATTAATAGCCGATTGTCTGATATTCAAGCGCTGCCAACCTTGCCAATGAGCAGCGCGTTCTTATTGTTAGGAGTCTGCTTAAGATCACATCACATACCAGTAGTTGCGACTTGGCGAATCGTTGGTGAGCTCAACACCGGCGTCAACTGTGGGTAGCCCTGTCCCCGGGTTGTAAAGGTTTGCCACAAAGTGGCCGTGTGTTGCAAAGGCACCTTCGCTTTGTCTCCTACGTATCCCTGCGCGATACGGTCTTGAAGCGGAAGTGCTTGAACCCTGACCCCAGTGAGCTTGCGAATAATGGCTCTGAGTGTCTATTCTCAGGGCGCCACAGGGAAGACTTTGAATTCTTAGTTCTAAGGAGTTTCCCATGTCGTCGTCTTCGATGTCACAGGCTTGTTCCACCAAGAAACTTCAGCATATCTGTTCCATTTGTTGGGGAACTTTCACCTGCCATGCTGGCTTTCGTATTTTTTGTGGGTACTTTCTTGACGGCTTCGGCCATTAGCGTTGATCTTCGCCGTTTTTTAGAGACCACCGTTTGCTATTTGATCAGCGGTTCCTGAAAGGCTGATATATTACGTTCGCTCCTTAGAGTCCGCAGAGCAAGGTTTTGGCTGCTATGAGCGCTACAAGATGCCGGTGCCGGGAAGCAGTTCTGAGCGCTATGTGTAGCAATCGGTATAGGATGGAAACCCTCATTGGTGGTTTTGGGCGTGTTCCAATGGGCTCCAATGCGGCACAGCTTGTACCAGTGCAGGCCGAGGTCCTGCAGCCGCTACTGACGGACGCGTTGGCTGTAGTTGTGGTTGTTGTTGTGCTCAAAATGTCGTATTGCTAGACTAGTAATAACTGCGTCTATCTCCATCTCTCAGAGGTGTACAGGTGCGCCTCGATCTTGTTAACAGGTGCATCCATGAGCGGGGCTGGCAGACCCTGCAATGGATAGCTTTTGACTATGGAATAAGCTGCTGATGGGATGTTGCTAATTGCTGCATGACTGGTGTAGGTGTTGCTGCGTGTGTTGTATGCATGGGAAGCAAGGACGTATCCGTTTTTAAGTTTTTATTTGCTATGGCAGCCTTACAATTGTTCAAGCTAGCTGCTATTTTTGTAGGCCCCTCGACTTTGTTATTGACAGCACTGGCCTTGACAGCTCCCAGTTTTTGCTTGTGTGCGAATTGCACATTTGCAGTTTTGATATTTGGATCTTTATTTATTTTCGGCACTCTATCGTAATTTTTTATTTGTTTGGGGAATACTGAAACAATCGTTTGATTGTAGTCAGTAGGCGTCCTAAAACGGAAAGGTTCTGACTCGAGAGCGGCTTTAATGGCAATTTATACCCCACCACCTCGAGTCGGCCAAATATTTCTATGCACAATGAAATTGTTCGAAATAACTTCAAATCGCATAAGGTTTAATTTAACCATGTTTCTAAAAATGCAAATATATCCCATTCAGGGATGTGCTAGCCTTTTAAAAGTTTTTTAAGCTTAGAAATGAGACCTCTGACAATCTGATAATGAATGAGGATTTGGTCAGATGATGAAGTTAGTTATTTGGGCAGAAATGGTACCCTGTATTGAAGGGACTGGAAGGGTGACAGGCTGGTTACGCTTTTTTGGCTTGAACTATCATGTGCGGAGGCTGGGATCACAAATGATGGGGAACATATGTGAAACATTTATTTTGAATGAAGATATTTTACGAGGGGTGGAGAAATTAAATTTGGTAATTGACACTCTAGCAGAAGATTTGCTAGCAATATAGGCTGCTAATGACTCAGAAGTGGTGTACCGTAATTGATATTGTTGTCGCGTAAGTTTGATGTCACTTCTGCCTGCAGGTCGAAGCCTATCATGAAGCATACTGACTGTGACTAATAGAAAGAATGGGACTTGGAAAAATTGGAAAATTGGGATTGAAAAAATTTTCCAAACATTTTAAAATAATTTTTTTTTTACTTTACTGGAGCCGCGCTGGAACTCAAAGCTTATTAAATTTCTTTAGGGGTTTCACATTTGTTTTTTCTGCACCAATATCAATTAATATTTCTAATATTTTGCCAGCCAACGTCGTTCGACAGGATATCAGCAACCACGGCTGTGGCTGCGGTTTTATACCCTTTAAGTGACATTGCCTACTTGCTGGTGTCTCTGTTCCGTCATACCTGACGTGTTCTACCTTTTTGGAGGTTGTGAAGCTTCGGCATGTGCACCAGTAGTACGGGGCTTTGCTGTGTTGGTAGGGTGTCTATATATAATTATAACCACGGTTTCATGGGATCTTCATTCTATTTCTGGGCTTTTCTAGTTCGGATCCATTTCTGATGTGGTTTGGTTTTATGTTCGGGCACTATATTAGAATTCTTATCTAATTTAACGGCTTTGTCCGGAGAATAAATGCTATAATTACGAAAGCTGGTGCTCTGTTTAAGCGGTAAATTTAAACTGAAATCTACACTAATTATGAAACAAGCTACAGCCGACATAGCTGGCTAACAGAAACAATAAGCTGAATTTGCGTTTCCGCAAGGCATCGCCGGCAGCATAAGACAAAACACTGACCTTGAGCCTCGTGCAGAATACGGTGTCTCTCTTACTTACAACTAAATTGGCATAACATACGCAAGCACTAGGTCGATCGATTTATCGAACGAAAAGTGGAAGCAAAGTTCACGGAACATGTAAACAATTTTTTTTCTACCGTTCTTGTATATCTGATACAATTTACTATTTATATATACAATATAATTTGAAAAGAGCATTCTACTTAGTGTAAACAAGTTAAGCTTGTCGTAGATAAAAAGGGGAGCCAGTCCAGTACAAAACATGGCTATGGGATTATTTTTATAGCATCGAAAGCTCGAAATACGGATCCTTTTTATTGGCTTTATACAAATATATGTAAAAGGCAGAAGGAAGCAACTCCAACTACATAAAATGTAATTGTTTATGTAAATGATGTCGCCTGGCTAATATTAGGTTGACAGCGAACCGCCTTATGGTGTATGTCTACATTTTTCCTTTTTTTCTCTAATTATTGTTTTACTTACTTTCGGAATTCCCATACAACCCACATATCTGCGTAAAATAGGGGGCTCAGTGGTTTATCCTCTCTCTAAAGAGAATTTATTGAGAGAGCAGCCATTTTTGTTGATCAGTGTGGTGAGCGTGTTGAATGTTAATATTCTTTCCAGTGTTTCGTCTAGACACTTGTCAGAAGACGTGTGTTGAAATCCCTTTTATTGGCAATGGTAAGTTTATCAATTGATTCATTGTATACTGACTTTTCTAAAATTTATCATTACAATTATCGAAAACATATAATTTACTTAATCCTACAATATTAATGGAGATGAGCTCATTCGTAAAGTTGCAGCTTTAGAAGATTCTTTTGTTTTCACATATAATAAAGCGGCTACAAAAACTTATACTATAATGTTTTGTTGTCTTAATTTTACGGACCGGATTACAGATCGAGGTGTCCTTAATCTGCTCATAAAGGCAAAAACATGCTGAGCCCATTAAAACCCCATTAAGTACATATATTCTTGATCAGCATCAATAGCCGAGTCGATCCAGAAATGGCCGTCTGCTTATTCTTCTAGTACCAGCGCAGTACATGTTCGTTACCGTTAGTCGATAACCTGCCTCGATTCCAAGCAATCGATAAAAATCGATACCGAATTCTAGTTATAAGTTATAAGAGCTAGAGTGGTTATTTGACACGTAGCTTTTTAAATAGTATATTGATATGAAGAATCTTTTCTTGTAAAACTATTGCCGCCACCACGCCTACACAACATAGCTATTAATCAAATAAATAAACCAATTGGAACTGCCCACCAACTTAAGCCACAATTTGAAAGACAATTTCTATACCGTCATAATCTACTACTACTTCTACAAAAACTGAACGACAAATGAATCATGTTGCTATCGTTTTCCGATACGATTGCAAGAGTTTTGTCGGGTTAAGTCTCGCATTTCGACAGTATGCGATATCATTTGCGAATTTTTGGTCCGCTGGCAGGTATGGAATAGGGGTTCTGCTAGTCGAGCTCTCACGGCTAGAAGGCTCAATATGTTTATTTATAAAATCTAATAAGATCTTCATATTTATTTCCAGGTACTCCACTGATTCAATATTTACAATTGATAAGATGAAGAAAATGCAACATTATTCAAATAAATTGTTATTTAGTTAAATTAATTGAAGTGTGAAGAACTTCCGGCTATTAACCCTTTCTGCGGCTTTCAACATTTTCCGCAAGGAAATGGGGTCCAACACATCTAGCGTTGGTTATTCATTGGCCACAACTACTGAGAGTGCAGGTGCTAGCAGTGATCATGGAAACGGACACGTGCTACAGTCGACAAACACTGAAAGTATAGTCTCAACGGGCTCAATTGGAACCAACGCAGGCCCTGATCCAAGTTTCATTTATAGCGGTGCGCACTATCATCGCGATCAAAGGCGAAAGCGAGTTACGGGTTTTGCGACACTTAAGCGCAAATTCATACGCCGTCGACGTTCCTCAAAAGCCTGTGATCACGCGCGTGTTTTACGCGACTTTGTGTCTGACTGGACACCTCTTGAATTGGCAGCGCTCTGTGAGGAGTTTGAAGCGTTGGCTGCTTTAAGGGATTTATCGGTAAATAAGCGACTGATATTGTTAAGCACCTCTTATTATTTTGTTATATTTTACAAACAGGTACAAGCAGAATTGGCACGACCCCCGGCCACTACATATAAACAAGATTTGGCCGCTCTTTACGATTTAAATCTCTGTACGGATTGTGATCTTGTATTTCGTGGATCCATTTTTCCTGTTCATCGTTCTATATTATCCTCACGATGTACATATTTTCGAGAGCTGCTTTCTGGCTGTCCTGGATTTGGTGCACGCATATGTCTTGAGCTTCCTACGTCGTCTATTGATGTAAAAATATTTTCTATATTGCTTCGTTATTTGTATACCGGAGATCTTTGTCCGCACGATCCGACCATTAATATCAATTTGTTGCGTCAGCTTGGTGATGATTTTGGCACGCCTAACCCCCTCGAACACGATCTTCGTTATTTGTTGGAAACCGGCGATTATGCAGACGCCGCTCTCGTGTTTACAGCAGAAGGCACAAACGAATACTTACGTCAAGATTCGGTTAATTCCGAGTACGGCTTTAGGCCAAAACTTGAACTTCCTTGTCATAAAGCAATTTTGAGTGCTCGTTCACCTTTCTTCCGTAATCTTATTGCTCGCAGAACGCGGAACATTGACGAGTATGTAGAGCGCTCTATACATGTACCCACACGCATCGTACTTGATGAGACCGTTATACCGAAAAGATATGCGCGTGTGCTACTGCACGCCATATATTTAGATACAGTCGACTTGGCACTCATACTGCGTGGTGCAGGAACTGGATGCTCGACCGGCTCCCTTGGTGAGGTTCACGCATTAACCAACACTGGTCGTGTACGACCTACAACTCTTGAGGAAGCTATGGAGTTATATCAAATAGGCCGGTTTCTAGAACTTGATATATTAGCACAGGGCTGTGAAGATTTAATACTTGAATGGTTGTCACTTGATACTCTATCAATGGTCTTGAAATGGGGATGTCAACCACATGGCTCCGCTTGGGTGTTTCGTCAAGCATGCCAGTATTTACGCGAAGAATTTACTGCAGTTAGCTCCTCACCAGTGCTTAATCAATTAGATAAAGCACAGCTAGTACATATATTACAAAGCAACTTCTTACAAGCATCCGAGTTGGAAGTGTTACAGGCTGTTTTAAAGTGGGGGGAACAGGAGCTTATTCGGCGCATGGAAGATCGCGAGCCAAACCTGTTATCGCATACCGCTCACTCCGTAGCGCGGAAGGGTGTAAGAAAGCGCGATTTAAGTGACGTTGAGTTGCGTGAAATACTTTCGGAACTACTGCCTCTAGTAAGAATGGATCATGTTTTACCGCCAAACAGTGAGGTTCTTTGTCAAGCTATACGCCGTGGTCTTGTTAGCACACCGCCATCGCATATGATTGGCGACGAGCGCGAAAATTTACGAATAAACGCATGGATACGGGGTGGGAAAAATCAAGGTCTATTTGTACGGCCACGTCTTTTCATGCCGTATTTTGAGGAAGTAAAGGCTTTATTGGAAGATCGAATGGCCTCGTCTCATCATCAAATTGAGCTCATGCGCATGCGTCGATCCCGACATTTTCCTGACATTCCGGATACCCTTTATATGGTTTCACGCATGAACTCTACTCCAAATAACAGCTTTGTTTCTGGAGTGACTTGTAGTATTATTGGTGAGAATGGGGATAAACTTGAACCTACCGCTATACCACCACCAGATAGTCATACGCTTGCTGCAATGCGTAAGCGTGAGCATAAACTTCGTCAATCCCCAATGTGCCAACGGGCGTTACTACTGCCACTGTCATCAAAACATGAAATCGATCGTCAAATTCGCCTTCGTGTCGTTAGAGAATTCAATCTGCCCGATGAAGTGTCTGATTTGTTAGAGACCTCCCTATTAACTAACCATGGGAGTAGAGATGAAAGAGTTCCACCGAGTACACTTACGGAAGAGTGCCTGTTAGAAAATGAAAATCAAAGTCCGCCACCGTCGCCGGCAGCTACCGGCTCTGTATGCCAAACTGCCGTTACAGCTCCTTTTTTGTCGACCTCATCAGTGTCATCCGCATGTGGTGCAAATAGTGTACATGAATGCTACAGTCGAAATTTGACTTTTCCCCGTCAGCAGCCAAGTAGCGTACTAGGTGTCGCGAGTATTTTGGCAGGCAATCCCGGCTCGGCCCTTCAGTCCAGCTATGCACGTTTAACGACATCGGTGAACCATCGTAACGAATTGCCGGCATTAATCACAGAAGGTGATTTTAGATTTCCACACAGCAATGCGCTGAGCATTGTCAGAAGGCGTGAGAGCGGTGCTTGTGGTTTAGACACTGGCAATGGACACCTTTCTGACATGATGCCTGATGTGGCCATGGCTACTGCATCGTTGGGTCAACTTCAACTTGGCACAGAACAAGCAGGTTGCATGAGTAACGTCAGCAGTCGTCCAATTGAAAGCAACAGAGATATGTCAGAAAGTTTACAACTTGATTTGGGAGATGGACCGACTCCGCATATCATCAATAGTGCAGCTGGTGTGATAACTATACGAAACTTACAGGTGAGTTTTTTTAATGTCTTATAAATTACTTGCTAAAATAATGTAATTTATTTTAATTTTTTTTATTTAATTTAATTTAATTTAAACAGCATCAACTACCGGAAGGCAATTTCCACCACATATTGCAGCGTGCAAGTTCGCCATTTGACATTCTGCGACAAGAACAACACTCGCCTAGTCCACAGGTTCCACCTTCAGCCGCATTCAATTCTGGGCCATCTAGGTTTTTTTAGAGGTGGCAAGTGGCTCCCAACATGGCGCTTGATTTAAGCACTCCATTCTAAAGAAAATTAACATAAAAATATCGAGGGAAATATGATATGTCAGCAGAGTGTCAGCATTAAGAAACAAGAAATTTAGCTTACTAAAAATGTACGCCCCTAACATCAATAATTTGTTATTTTACACTTTTGATGTAAGCAAAGCGTATGTACAAAAGAGTAATGAATAATATTAACATAACGTCTGTCGCAATTAAATGTACACCTAGTTTTTTTTATTATATTAATCAAATAAATAACAGCTATGTAAACATATATAATAAAATAGAATATTTATCTTTAGCTCGCAAAAGCGTTTACAAAAATTGGAAACAAGACTAAACTAAACTCATTAAACATGTGTAGAAAGGGTATTGTGAAAATGTACCTGGCAGAAGGAAGCATCTCTGACTCTATAAAAAGCCTATCTTGTCATGTCTGTTCGCCCTGTAGTAATTGATTAAATTCGATATCGAAATACTGTTTTTTGAGCAAACCTCTAATGGTTTTGTAGTTACAGTCACTAAAATTGACATGTAGCTTCTTGAATAGTATATATACATACATATGTTTCATTTCAGTTTTAGTTCAGTTGAATTGCAAGAATTTCTGTAAACATTTACATACAAACAAATTCATGAGCATCTTTCTTGAATTCTATCAAACAGCATTGCAATTGATATAATATTGTATTCTAGTTGTTTCTTTTTTAATATTTGTTTGGTTTCTCTTTGATTTAAGTTTTAAAACGATATATTAAATAAGAAAAACATTGACCGTTTTTATCGTTCCAATTAATACATATAAATTTATATTTTTGTACGTTTTGCTCTTTTGAAAAGGTGTTAAAAATCAAATAGTTGGCTGGGTCGAGTTTCGGGTTTGTTTAAATAAAACAGTGAAAACAATTTTATTGTATTGTGCCTCGAAAAGTTTTCGGTTGTACATCGGCAAACCAAAGACAATATAAACACTAAGATGAGTAACGCCTATACATTTGAATGGGACGCTAAATTTCTAGCCTGGGCTTTCATCTGGCCTTTGAGGCTTCGTACAGCATGCCTGCCGACTGGTTGTTCGTTCCCCAAAGACCAGACGAACGAATGCCGAAGTCGCGGCTTGCTGATGCTGACACGAGCTACGAAGTTAGTCGCCAGCCTGCCCTCAGCAAAGCTGGTCGATGCTGCTTTGCGTCGCTTCGTTTTCGAAGTACATTGAGCGAAAAAGTTTAGTCTTACGATCGACGCAATGTGCTTGTGCTTTATCCATGAACTGCATGCTTTATTTAAATGATATAATATCCTAGATATAAACGGTTGATTTTACAGGAAAGTTTAAGAACTTATATAATTTTTACACAAGGCGCTTCTTGCGCAATAAGAAAATAGCACACATAGATTGATTTCACTTTTTTTTTTTTGACAGTGTATGCTCGAGAAAAGTTCTTGTCTCAGCCAATAGCGTGCGTGCACCTTTCGTTGTATGCGTGAATTATACATGCATAAGATCTTTAAAGTATGTATGTATGTATGTGTTGTTATTCACTGCTCTGGCTTTAGCTGGCAAGAAATTAATTTTGTTAGTTTTCTAGCGCAGATCATGACCTATCCCAAATTTGTGTTGATATATGAATGCATTTTGTGTACTAAGGTTGGCTCCGCAGAAAATACCCGAAGGTTATATTTAGTTATGACCCCATTATAATTATAATAGTCACCTCGCGGTGTTCCCTGCGTACTTTGTTATTTATAATTCGAACAACAAAAATAATAAAATAAAAAAAAAAATTTATTAAATGTATCTTTGAAATAATAATAATTTTATTAATTATTTCAAATATAAAAAATTACATAAATATTTGCATCGACTTAAAAATACAAATCTTTTTGTACGGAGCCAACCTCAGTACACAAAATGCATTCATATATCAACAGAAATTTGGAGTAGGTCGTGATCTGCGCTAAAAAACTAAGAAAATTGTTTCTGTGCCAGCCAGAGACTTTGCCAGAGCAGTGAATAACAACACATTCAAATATGCTGTTATGTATGTATGTATATTCACACGCATACAAACATAATTGCTTGCACGGCGCCCATAGAGCCGAAGCTGAGAGCAAATTCTATTTTTAGCTTTTTCGTTCTCTTGGCTGTGATAGCGCAATGCTATTGATTTCGTTTTCGTTCTCAATTTTCAAAAAATCAAGCTGCATACTTAGTAGCATTTTGTTGTATGGCGTTACTCATCTTAGTGTTTATATTGTCTTTGGGCAAACCGTCTTCAGGGTACTAACACAAGGTACAAAAAACAATTAAAATTAAATTATATTACATTTAACAATAATTTTGCCATATTTAACATACATTTTTTTACACGTCTGTGCTTTATGACGTGGAGATGCAATTTGGCTGTTGGCTGTTCAAAGTCTTAACAAGTGAGCGCAATTTTCCGTGTCTGCCTTGTAGTTTAGTCGTTTGTTTGTTGGTAAGTTAATTATGTGTAACATTTCTAATGTGTGTCGTTTGTTGTAGTGTTGTTCTTGTTGTAGAATTGTTATTGCATGCAATTTTATGTGTGTTTGCTTTTCATACAGTGGGTCATAAGTACTGTTTTCTGCATATTATTTTGATGTCTTAATTTGAAGTCTTATTTATGAGTAATCCTTGTTTTTAGTTTGGATTTTGTTGTGCCTATGATTATTTTCCCTATCTTGTTATTTTCCCTAGCACATTATATTACTAAAGCGTGTAAAAATGGTAATTTCCCGTCTTTTTCTAGTTCAATTGTAAATTTGATGTGTCTGTGGAACGAGTTCAATTCTTTTAGAATTTGATGTGCTTATGTTTTGTCCGTTATGGCAAACAGGTCATCTACATATTTGCTCAGTCTTGGTTTTATTGTCAATTTATCCGTAATGTTGTCTAACAGTTAGTACACCTGCGATTAATGGGGATTATGGTGATCCCATTGGGGTCGCTCTCGGCCGCTCCTATCTCGGCGATCACATTCTCAATCTCCTTGGCCAATGTCATGTTTTTGGTGAACCGACGGTAGGTGCAAATTATGGTGCAACACACAGCACCCAACAAAAAGGCTATTACCACGCTGTCGACGCTTCCAATTTCGTCCTTGACTTCCTTGATGATCTCCAAGTTACGTTCATTCAGGCGATGAAGGTAAGGGAGACTCAGCACGTCTTGGTGGCCGGTGACGTTCATAAGGGGAGATGCCGTGATGCCGGGGAACTTTCTCTGGACGTTGTTGCGATTCAAGTACTTAGTTTCGTTGAACAGAGCCCAATTATTGAACGTGATTAGATTCGTTCCGTGAACCCAAGTCTCAGTTCCGTTGTCACACTTGCCAAAAATAGAAACTGCAGAAACCCGAACCTACGGAAGACAGACAAAACGGATCAAACTATTACTATTTATTTTTTATTTATATATTTTTATTTATTAATGGTCGACAAAACGAGTGTCTTCCTCATTATTCAATAGATTATATAATAGATAATAGAATTATATGCTAAAAGCCGAGTTAAAGAATACAATTTTCTAAATAGCATCACCGACCGATGGAGGTGTTTTATTTGCCAGTCCGGCCAGCTGTGCCACTTTTCACAGCTAATTTTGTCAATAACGCTATTAGAGCCTACATCTAAGCAGAAGGTTGTAAGTAGGAAAAAAGTGTTCTTAATTAAAATTAAAAAATTTAAAAGCAATCTTTACTTGCTATATTAATTAAATACAGTAAATAAAAAAAAAAGAAAGTAAGTAGAATGTTAATAAAGTAAAGAAATGTAAGTTCGATAAAGAGTGTTAAGTAGATAGGACAAAGAGAAAAGTAGTGGAAAATCACCGACCTCGGTGGGGGTAAATTTGTTCACCTTTTCCGGCAAGCTATGCCCTTGCTCATAGCTGGGAATGGTCAGTGACTTCCCGAAGGTATCCTGAAAGCAACGATTTTATTAGGGGTAGAGATAAACAAAGTTCGGTAGAGAAAACGTGATGCAATCTATACAAATTTTTACGTAACACGCGAAAAGGATTGTGCATAGCGTATTCTGTTGTGCACGTAGATAGGAATAAGGGGCGATAATTTCTGGTTGGTCTAGCTGGAACGGAGAATTGAAGACGCCCTAGCAGAAAAGGAGAATCTATGTCGCCAACAATCAACTTATGTAGAAGGACAACACCGAGAATTGTCCTACGATTGGTTAACGACGGAAGGTTGAGAAGAAGCAGCCTGCTGGAGTAGGATCGCAACCGAAGATTAGGGTCCCAATTTAAACCTCGTAAGGCAAAAAGCATAAATTACTTCTGAACAGATTCAATACGATCCTGGCTATTGTTATACGTGGAGACCAGATGCAAGAGCAGTATTCAAGGATAGGGCGAACAAGAGAGATATACAGAATTTTTGTTATAAAAGGATCGTCAAACTCTTTAGACCATCGTTTAATGAATCCAAGTATACCTTTTGCCTCATTAACGATGGTATCTATGTGAAGATTAAAACAGAGTTTAGAATCAAAAATAACGCCTAGATCCTTTACTGTTAGTATACGTTGCAAAGGGATACTGTCGATTGTATAACTGAAAAGATAAGGTGTAGTACTTTTAAATGTCATAAACATACACTTTGAACAATTAAGATGCAATTGATTGGCCGAACACCGAAGTTGCATTGCGTTCAAATCGTCTTGTAGACGAGAATGATGTAGGGGATTAGTGTATAATAGAATAAGTTTGACATCGTTCGCATACATGAGTACACGGGCATGTGATATAACAGAGGGAAGAAAAAAAGAGTCAAGAGTAAAGGTCCAAGATGACTGCCTTGAGGAATACCAGAAGTAACATGAACCCGTTTAGAGGTAGTCAGCCTCAGCATTACTCTTTGGGTCCTACCTTTTAAATAAGAATTAATCCAAAGCAACAGATACGGAGGGAAACCTATGCGGTCAAGTTTAACAAGTAAGAGTTTCTCGTTGGGAGCTCCCGACTAGGGGATACCCTGAACCCTCTTCTTCCAACATCAAATGCATATATATATTCTATTTTAGAAGCTATGTGTCAAGTTTGGTGACTCTAGCTCTTATTATTTACCAATATTGCCCATAAAACAGGATATCGATATTGATTTATTGGAAACAAACTCGATCTGCGCAGGCACTAGGAACACCTATACTAAAATTTCAAGACTCTAGCTCTTATAGGTTCTGA